ACGCCAGCATGCCGACAACAAACAAAACTCGAGCCACAACCTTGCCCAAGCGTAAGCACGCAATAAGGCGACCATTGTTTGACTGCATGCACCTTCTTGGCCATGCAGCGCAGGTCACCTCGTCCTTCGGTAACTCCCCGAGGAAGTCGAGCTTCTCCTGGCTGGCACGCAGCACGCCGACTTCACATGTGTCGCAATCGGGGGAGGTGGGTTCATCAACAATCTCCACATCCTCCCCCCGAGGCCGCTTGGGTGCTGGCGCCTCATCTTGCAAAGCCTCGCCACGTGCCCGAGTTGGTAGAAGTAGTTGCTCCGCCGACGGGTTCGCCTTGACGGTGACGACGAGCTCCCCCGAGACCCCAGCCGCCTGCAGAATCCTGTCCAGCACGTCAAGGTTGAATTGGCCCCCTGAGTCGCGCTCGGAATCAGGATCAGGAGGCTTATCAACGCCGCTGCCAAGAGCCCGCAACTGGCCCTCGAGATCGGCAGTGGCGCAGCGCTGTGCCTCAACCTTCTCAGCGTACAGCTTGACCTCCTCCTGCAGACTCTCGAGTTCCACCTTCTTGGCCAGACTTGTTTTGGTGAGCTTATCCAGCTTGGTACATTCGATCTGCAGTTTCGTGGAGAGCTGCCTGATATGGATGCTGACTGGTTGTTTGGATCATCGCAGCGCCATACACTCGGCCTTCGCCTTAGCATGCTGCTCAGCGATGGCCTCCACCCCGACGACCCCGAGACACGCAGCGTGCATCCTTTCATACGCCTCGATCTGTGCCAGCAGCGCCTTGTCATCATCGTCGTCCACTGGCTTCGTGGTTCCCAACTCCAACTCAGGCTGCGCTCCCGCTGCCGAGGGGCGGGCTTGTTGCTGTCGAAGCTCGGCCACCTCCGCCTCCAGCTCTGCGAGGTACGTGGTCTGGGACTTGGGCTGGTTCCTCATCGCGGGCCTGGCACCGCGGAGCCATGGGGCACGGACCGACGGGGACTCGGGCTCGACTGCGCGGAGGAGGCAAGAGCCCCTGCGCAACCCTCCACACCCGTCCTTGGCCCTGCCCGAGCAGTACAGTCAAAACGTCTAGTAAGGACGCGAGGTAAGGACGCAACACCCTTGGAGTCTGAAGTTGGGATTTGTTGGGCGGCGGGCGACCAGTGATAATGGCAAGGGCGGGCCTCAGAGGCAAGGACACAAGGGTACCCTAGATGAAGGCGCGCGTCCTTACTAGGCGCGTTGACTGTACATGCGCCATCAAGGATTGACCCAAGGCTTGCCAGAGCGCTGCTCACAATACCGACGCTGCCACTCTTGCTTCTCGCCGTCGCGCTCTGCCGTGTGGCACTGGGTCCCTGGCGCGGGACCGGCGTGCGGATCCAGCAGGCGGCAGCGCACCGCTCCCCGCCTGCAGCACGGCGTCGGCCTCCCTGTGAGGCCGAAAGCGTAAGAGACAAAACACACTGTGGGAAAAACACACACACAACACACACACACACACACAAAAAAAAAAAAAAACACGCAACACACACACAGACTGTGTTTGTTTTGTGTGTGTGTTTTTTTTCTGAGCCGCTCCCTTGGCTGCAACAAGCTCCCAGCGCGGGAGCAACGTTGGGAACTTGAGCCGAAATGGCGACGGAAAAAGGCAAGCATACTTTGAAGCGCGTTTCACTCGGTGGGTGGCCAAAACGGATGCAGGAGGCACTGGCTTGGAGGGAGGAGTGTCGGGCCCGTGCCCGCGCTGCTGCTTTTGCCGCCGCCGCCGCTTGCGGGCCTGAGGCGGTCAGCGTTAGCGAGAGCGGGCTGGACAGGCGGCAGGGTGAGCAGCGGCAGCAGGGAGGGCAGGTAGAGTGATCCAAATGTATGATGTGCTATACATTTCTGATGATGCCAGCGTGCTCCGGTGGAGCATTTCCGAAGCACGCTGAATTGCTTCGAGCACGACTGGTGCTTCTCAGGGTATTCCCAGGGTATTCCTGCTGCTGCTGCTGCTGCTCGTTCTCGTCCCCCTCTTCCTCCTCCTCCCTCCTCCTCCTCCTCCTCCTCCTCCTTCTCCTCCTCGTCCTCCTCCTCCTCCTCCTGTTCATCCCGTTCCTCCTGTTCCTATTCCTGTTCATGTTCCTGCGACTGCCTCTCCTACTCTGCCGCATCGTCATCCGCATCATCATTTGCATCAGCATCATCATCATCATCATTAGCATCAGCATGATCATCATCATCATCATCATCATCAGCATCATCATCATCATCATCATCATCATCAGCATCAGCATCATCATCACCGTCATCATCATATCATCATCATCATCATCAACAACATCATCATCATCATCCTCATTCGCATCATCATCATCATCATCCTCATCATCATCAGCAGCAGTATCAGCATCAGCGTCAGCATCAGCATCATCAGCGTTAGCATGATCATCGTCATCATCATGATGATGATCATCTTCAGCATCATTATCATCATCATCCTCATCCTCATCATCATCGTCACTATCAGCAGCAGTAGCAGTACTACCATCAGCATCATCACAATCGTCATCCGAACCATCATCTTCATCATCATCGCCGCCATCATCATCCTCATAACCATCATCATCATCATCACCATCAGCATCACCAACATCATTATCGTTAGCATCATCATTAACATCATCATCGTCATCATCATCCATCTGCACCGTCACCAACACTAACATCATAATCTGAAGCATCATCACCACCATAATCATCATCATCATCATCATCATCATCATCTTCATCATCATCTTCATCGTCGTCACCAGCATCATCAGCACTTTCGTTTCTGACAGCAGCATCATTAGCAGCAAGAGAACCATCATCATGACCACCAGCATCATCATCACCATCATCATCGACATCAAAATCATCACCACCACCACCATCATCATAATCATCAGTATTATCATCATCATCATCTTCTTCATCTTCATCTTCATCGTCATCATCATACGGCTGGGCCTACCGTAATCATCATCATCAGCATCATCAGCATCATCATCGTCATCAGCAGCATCATGACGGCCACCACCACCACCATCATTCTCTTACCTCCGCCACCACACGCCACCATCACCACCACCAGCATCGTCGTCATCATTATCCTCATTGCCATCATCATCATCATCGGCATCGTCGCAATCGTCATCAGGGGCATCATCAGCGACATCAACCACATGCTCGACATCGTTATCATCACCATCATCATTATCAACATCGTCACCACCACCACCATCATCAGCATCATCGTCACCGTCTGTACCATCCTCATCCTCCTCATCACCATCGTCATCACCATTGTCATCATCATGATCATCATCGTCATCAGCATCCTAATCAGCATCATCAGCCGCATCAACCATATCATCAACATCATCGTCGTCAGCATCAGCATCAGCATCAGCAGCATCATCATCCGCATCATCCTCCTCATCGTCATCATCAGCAAGATCAGTATCAGCGTCAGAATCAGCATCATCATCGTTAGCAACGTCGGTGTCATCAGCATGATCGTCTTCATAAGCATCAGCATCATCATCAGCATCATCATCCTCATCCTCATCTCGACGTCATCATCAGCAGCAGTAGCAGCATTACCATCAGCATCATCACCATCGTCATCCACACCACAATCTTCATCATAATCTTCGTCATCACCATCATCATCATAACCATAATGATCATCAACACCAGCATCAGTGTCATTGGCATCATCACAACATCATCAACATCATCATCATCATCATCATCATCATCGTCATCATCATCATCATCATCATCATCATCATCATCATCATCTGAATCACAACCGTCACTAACATCATAGTCAGAAGCATCACCTCACCATCATAATCTACACTATCATCAATGACAGCAGCATCATTAGCAGCAGAAGAATCATCATCATCATCATCACCACCATCACCCCCAACATCATCATCAGCAGCATCATCATCATCTTCACCATCATCATCGACAACAACCTCATCACCACCTCCACCACCATCATCATCACCATCGTCATCATCATACGGACGGGCCTACCGTAATCATCATCATCATCATCATCATCATCATCAGCAGCATCAGCATGGTCAACAGCATCATCATCACAGCCACCACCACCACCATCATTCTCTCACCTCCACCGCCACACACCACGATCACCACCACCAGCATCGTCATCATCATCCTCATTGCCACCAGCATCATCATCATCATCATCATCGTCGGCATCCTCGCCATCGTCATCAGGGACATCATCAGCGACATCAACGGCATGCTCGACATCAGCATCATCATCATCATCATCATCATCATCATCATCATTGTCAGCATTGTCACCACCACCACAATCATCATCAGCGTCTGTATCATCCTCATCATCCTCATCACCATCGTCATCACCACCGTCATCATCATGATCAGCATCATCACCCTCACCAGCAGCATCATCATCTTCATCATCATCAGCAACATCAACCTTATCATCACCAACAGCATCATAATTAGCATCATCATCAACATCAGTATCACCAGTATCATCATCATCGTCATCATCATCATCATCATCATCATCATCATCATCATCATCATCATCATCATCATCATCATCATCGTCATCGTCATCGTCATCGTCGTCGTAAGCATCACCATCATCGTCATCGTCATCAACATCGTCATCTCCCTCCACCTTCCTGCCTCTCCCACCTCTTCTCTGGGAGCTACCAGCCTCCCAGCAGAGACATCAGATATGCCCTCCCAGGCCAATCTGCAGCAGGAAAAGCTCCTGTGACGAAGCGAATTGCAAGCCCCCCGCTCGCCACCCTCGCAATCTTCGCCCCCCCTCGCTCCCCCTCGCCCTCCTGCCCCCCCCCTCGCTCCCTCCTGCCCCTCCGCCCCCCCTCGCCCTCCCGCAATCTTCGCCCCCTCTCGCAATCCTCTCCCCCCCTCGCCATCCTGCATCTCCAGCATGAGGACCTTATGAAAGGCGACCCCGACCGACAGCTGAATCCGCCAGCTCCCCTGCGGAGCCCACCAGTCCACAGCAGGACAACCTGCTCCTGCACCTCCCTCCTCCTCCATCCTCCTCCTCCTCCTCCTCGGCCTGCTCCTCCCCCTCCTCCATCCTCCTCCTCCTCCTCCTCCTCCTCCTCCTCCTCCTCCTCGTCCTCCTCCTCCTCCTCCTCCTCCACCTCCTCCTCGTGTTTTAAAATGCTACACCAACCTTAGGAAAACACCTATTGCGGTCTTCCTCCTCCTCCTCCTCCTCCTCCTCCTCCTCCTCCCCCTCCTCGGCCCCCGGAGATGACGACAACAAAGACGACCATCGGAGGCTGCCGACGGACGCACGCAGGAAGCAGGCAACATATACTTCAACGGCCAGAGCTCGGCGCTGGCGGTACGTGCAGCCAGAATTTGGCACGCCGACTCAGGAACCGCCACGTCGACGGCAACGCGTCCATGATGAGTCAACCATCGCTGACTTCGCATTGTCCTCGGACGGGTAGCATGGAGCCACCCAGATATGGCAAGAAAGAAGATGCACGGCGGCACGTGCGGCACGTGCACGGCACCACGGCGGCCCCGCCCCCCACTCGCACTCGGGAGCGGCAAGAGGGGGATGTCCAAGAGGGGGGGGTGCAAATCATGACCGGCGGCATGTGCGCGGCCCAGCGGGGGAGCCAGGGACGTAATGGAATAAGAAGAGACGCGATGAAATCTGGGGAAATATCATGGCCCCCGCCATGATATCCACCCCCCCCTAATCATCACCCTCCTCCTTTCCGCCCCCCCCACTCGCACATCCCATGAGCCCTGGAAGATCCGGTCCCCATCGGGCAGGCAAGGCATGCCACAAGGGCATGCGACAAGGCGCCGCCCTGCCGAGCGCGGGAGCCTGAGGAGCTCGGCAAGGAGAGGGGGGCGAGGCGGGCGGCGCTGCTGCCGCGCCCCTCGCGCGGGACCCGCGGGGGGCGCGGCGGGCGCCCACAGGTGGGCGAGGCGAAGGGTTCCGTTGGGGACATCCTCGAAATTCAATTCCGCCAGCCCTCTTCGACGTCGGTATTTATCGCAGAATAATTCCGCCAGCCCACCGCAAGTCGGGGGCTGGGGGGAAACAAAACTAAAAGAGAACCCTGGGCTTCTGCCCTTTCCGGGAAAACCATCGGAAGTGATTACACGTTCGGTGTCAATTTGTTGAATTTTGAGGTCGCAGAAGCCCCCCTGGGGCGTCGCCACGCCATGCTGTGTCAGGCTATGCATCCTCCGAATCGTGCTCCCGCTGCAGCGCTGGCCTCATTTCCGCGCTTCCGCTCGTTCCGAATCGTGTTCCCGCTGCAGCGCTGGCGTCATCATTTCCAGTGCTATGCCGCGGCAAGGTGTTCGGTCCTTCCAAATAGGCCCAAAAATCTAGAGAATGCCCCCCCGAAACAACCATCGGAAGCGATTTACACATTCAGTGTCGATTCGTGGATTTGTGGGGCCGCCGGGGCCCCCTCCACTTTGGGGCGTCGTCACGCCATGCTGTGTCGGGCTACGCGCTGATCCTCAACACCATGCTGTGCCGTGCGATGCTGTGCCCTGCGGCGACATCCGACTGTGCGACTAGAGGAGGAGATCCACGCCATGGCAAGGGACGGGAGGGAGGGGCAGGACGTCAGATATGACGCGAGCGCACCCAGCTTGTCCCCCTCCCCCTCCCCCTCCCCCTCCCCCTCCCCCCTCTCGGGTCGGGCGAAAGGGGGGGACCCGGGGGGGATAGCAAAGGGGGGGGGTGATAATCAGCTCACGTAGCTGATTTTCCCGGCGCCAGAGGCGCCCATGTATCGAGGCATGGGCCCCTCGGTGGAGCCGAAACCAGCTGCATGCAGCAGATTTCGTACCCCCCCCTTTCCCAATCCCCCCCTTTCGTCCAGCCCGACCCTCCCCCTCCCCCCTTCCTGCCCGCCTCGCCCCCCCCTCCTCCTCCCCCTCCCCCCTCCCCCTCTCCTCCCCCTCCCCCTCCCCCCTCCCCCTCCCCCCCCCCCCCCTCCTCCCCCGCCCCCTCCCCCTCCCCCTCCCCCTCCCCCCCTTCCTGCCCGCCTCGCTCCCTCCCTCTGCCTCCCCCCGCGGCCGCACCACGCGGCGCACCCGCGCGGGCGACGCGCCCCGGGGGCGGCGGGGAGCCGCCGCAGGCGCCCCGGATCAGCAGCGGCAGCGCCATGAGGAGAGGCACCTGGCCGAGGCGCGAGTGGGGAGCGGAGGCGACGGAGGGAGCCGAGGAGGGGAGGGAGGAGGAGCGACTCGCCATCGCTCGGGCCATGGCCCGTGCATTTTTTTTGGATCTCGTGCGCGTGCTTTTCGCCAAATGGTCACAGATGCTCCTCGACGGTCCTCGCCGAGAAAAAGTGCACACGTCCGAGCGACGCCAAGGTGATAGGACGAGGCCGGGACGGGGATGAGATCGGGCGAGGACAGACCGACAGGCTCGGAGGTCCGGCGGCTCCGGAGGTCTCGGGCGCCGCGGCCTTCTCGGAGCGTTCCGGCACGTGCTGAGAGCGTTCCAGGACGCTCTTGAACGGAGGCGTCCTCGCCCCAGCCCCGTCCCGAAGAGGAGATGAAGGAGGAGCGGAGGACGAGAGGGAGGAGGAATCACCCACCCGCTCGCGAGGGGACGGGCGGTCAGAGGACGAGAGGGGACTGGTCCAAGAGATGAGAGAGACAGCCGCTGCCACTCGAAGGGCCCATCCTGGCGCAGACGGCCCAGGGCACAGGCATCCACCTTGTGTGGCAACACACGAGGCGTGTCTCGGAGGAGGGGGAGGAGGAGGAGGAGGAGGAGGAGGAGGAGGAGGAGGAGGAGGAGGAGGAGGAGGAGGAGGAGGGCGAGGAGGAGGAGGAGGAGGAATGGAGGGAGCAGAAAGAGGAGGAAGACCACAGTACACCCAAGACCCCAAGCTGCGCCAACGACGCCGCAACACGCCCTCGCGTCCCAAACTCGCCCCTCAAGTCCCTACAGTCAAAACGTTTATGAAGGACGGGTGGTAAGGACGCAAAACCCTTGGAGGCCGAAGTTGGATTTTTGGGGCGGGGGGGGGCCAGTGAAAACGGCGAAGGACGGGCCGCAGAGGCAAGGACTCAAGGGTACCCTAGACGAAGGCGCACGTCCTTACCAGGCGCGTTGTCCCTACCTACAACCCTTCCCTTCCGCTGCAAAAAGCGCCCAGGCGAGAAGGCGTGGACAGTGCACGGGCGCCTGCGGGCAGTAGAAACTGCACTGGCGCAGCACGAGCGGTACTTGCCACCTCTCAAATATCGCAGGTCGTTCGCAGTAATTGTGCGCGACGAAGCGGCCAGCACCCAGATGGAGAAGATATCGGGCAGCCGAGAAGAAGCGTCAGGATGTCGACTCCGCGGCCACAGAGGCAGGAGATGGGCAGTCAGCGTGCACTGGCATTGGTCAATGCAGTGGGCGAGTTTAATAAGCAAATGCCTATGGACACCCTGCCGAGGATTCGGATACGGAGGCGCAGGTCGACGCCCTTGCCCCGCAGAAAGGCCAAGCACAAAACACACAAAGGAAGGGCGCCACTGGGTCACACCGAACGGACCTTGATCCTGTTGTTGCCATGACACGAAGCACGCAAAACCGTGCTGGCGCAGCCACGGGTGTACAGACTGCTCCGATGGACACACAGGACGGCCCCAGCATCAAGTGGCTAATGTTGCTTCGCGCGAACGGTGCTGCAACTGCAGGGGAGGTCGACGACGACGACGAGGAGATCGACGGCGTGAGTGGACCAGAACCCAGGCCGAGGCGCCAGAAACAGTTCTCAGTGGTCTCTCTTGGGGACGCACGTCTCGCCACACTTTTTTGGTCTTCCCCAGCGCCCTCTGGGCGCCCTCCGACGGGGTGGTGCCCCGTCGTCAGGGAAGGTGCCGCCTGGGCGACGCCCGCAGCGGAGTGCCCCTGGACCACCTCGGTGGTCGTGCAGCTCATGGCGGGCGATCGCGAGGGACATCGTCTCCGCCTGGGCGCCCTGCTGCACCTCGGAGCTGGATTTGCGGAGCACCATTTTGCTAGTCGAGCTGTCCCACATCCTGTTCAGGCGCGGCCCGCACTGAAGACTGTGACCGATGTTGGGGGTTTGCTGTCAGGCCCTTTGGGCACATGCCGCTGGCCACTGCGGTGACTGACGCTTTCGGATGTCCCAGCGGCTCAGGGATAATGAATGAGTTTCGTGGAGGACCGCTCTGTCATGAGCCTGCTCATCGGAGCACAGGTGGCCCGCAGACTGAGTGGACACCTGCCAGCACGCGGTCATGAGAAGGATCGCTATTATCTATACTAGGTCCCATCCCCTCATCCTCTGCCACGCTATGAACATCCCTCCAGAGGGCACCATTAGATCGCCGAATCGCTCGAGATGTGGCAAGGGGATCCCAAGAATCGACTGCCCATTGGCCAAGTAACAACCAGACACAACCACATCATCAGCATCGTCGTCATCATCATCATCATCAGCATCATCATCATAATCATCATCATCATCATCAGCAGCAGCAGCATCATCATCAGCATCATCACCAGCATCACCATAATCACCATTATTACCATCATCATCATCATCATCATCAGCATCATCATCATCATCAGCATCATTATCATAAGCAGCAGCACCATCATCATCATCATTACCAATAGCGTCGCCAACGGCATCGTCATCGTCATCGTCAGCATCATCATCATCATCATCATCATCATCATCATCATCATCATCATCATCATCATCATCATCATCATTGTAATCATGATCAGCATCATCATCAACATCAACAGCTACAGCAGCCTCATCATCATATCCCTCCTCCTCATCATCATCGTCATCACCGCAAGCATCATCATACTCATCATCGTCACCATCATAGCCAGCATCACCAACATCATCATCATCACCATCATCATCATCGTCGTCGTCGCCGTCATCATCAGCATCAGCATCATCATCATCGGCATCATCATCATCAGCATGGTCGCCA